CCCCTCCTGTCTTCTCCCACCCAAATCCCCCTTTTCCCACCCAAATCCCCCCTTTTCCCACCCAAATCCCCTTTTCCCACCCAGGTGTGCTGGAATTCCAGGATTACCTGAGGGAATCTCCCCCAGGAGCTTCCCGGGGGGCTGGGCCAGGGAGCTCAGCGGGGAATCGCCCAAAATTCCCGGTTTCTGGAAGGAGAAAAGGCAGGATAAGGCCCTGAAAAGGGAGATTATCCCCAAAAAAACCCCATGGAAGAGGATCATCCGTGAAAAAAATCCATGGAAACCCCGGCCCTGCGTGGAAAGAACTCTGGGAAAGAGCAGAATTCCAGGGAAAGAAAAGCAAAATTCCAGGCGAAAAAAACCAAAATTCCAGGGGAAAAAAGCAAAATTCCAGGGAAAAAGCAGAATTCCAGGGGAAATGAGGGAAGTGCAGCCTACCTGGGCCTGGCTGTGCAGGGCCAGGGGTGGAAAGAGCAAAATTCCAGGGAAAGAAAGCAAAATTCCAGGGGAAAAAAAAGCAGAATTCCTGGGGAAAAAGCAAAATTCCAGGGGAAAAAGCAGAATTCCAGGGGAAATGAGGGCAGGGCAGCCTACCTGGGCCTGGCTGTGCAGGGCCAGGGGTGGAAAGAGCAAAATCCCAGGGAAAGAAAGCAGAATTCCAGGGAAAGAAAGCAGAATTCCAGGGGAAAAAGCAGAATTGCAGGGAAAGAAAGCAGAATTCCAAGGAAAAAGCAGAATTCCAGGGGAAAAGCAGAATTCCAGGGAAAGAAAGCAAAATCTCAGGGAAAGAAAGCAGAATTCCAGGGAAAGAAAGCAGAATTCCAGGGAAAGAAAGCAGAATTCCAGGGAAAGAAAGCAGAATTCCAGGGAAAGAAAGCAGAATTCCAGGGAAAGAAAGCAGAATTCCAGGGAAAGAAAGCAGAATTCCAGGGAAAGAAAGCAGAATTCCAGGGAAAGAAAGCAGAATTCCAGGGAAAAAGCAAAATTGCAGGGGAAATGAGGGCAGGGCAGCCTACCTGGGCCTGGCTGTGCAGGGCCAGGGGTGGAAAGAGCAAAATTCCAGGGAAAAGCAGAATTCCAGGGAAAATGAGGGCAGGGCAGCCTACCTGGGCCTGGCTGTGCAGGGCCAGCTGGAGCAGAGCCGTGGACAGCGCCGGGTTGGGCACCAGGGGCAGGGAGGGAGCAGCTCCCAAAATTCCTGCTGGGAAGAGGAGGAGGAGGAGGAGGAGGAAGCAGGGAGCTCCCGGCGGCACAGCAATCCCGGAATTCCCGGTTTTTTGCCCCAGAATTGCCATCTCACCCTGCTTGGCCCCCAGGGCCCCGTGGAGCAGGGGGTTGAGCAGCAGCTGCAGCGAGGCCGGGTTGCCCAGGCTGGCCAGGATCTGCAGCAGGGTGGGCTCGGGGAGCAGCCCCCTGCCACGGTTCAGAGCCTGGGGAGGGGGAAAAGGGAATTTAGGGGGAAATGGGGGGGTCTGGGGTGTGGGGTTTAGACAATGAGGAGGACAAGAAGGATGAGGTGACAACGACGATGAGAATGACAAAGAGGACAATGATGACAATGAGGATGAAGATGACAATGACAATGAGGATGGCAATGACAACGAGGCTAATGGTGAGGATGACAATGACAACGAGGCTGACAGCGAGGATGATGATGACAATGGCAACGAGGCTGACAGTGAGGACGAGGAGGAGGGGGAGGAAGGCTCACCGTGGCCTGCGCGGCCAGCAGCGCGGCCAGCGTGCCGCGGCCCGAGGGCCCGGGGGCGCAGAAGGACACGCGGATGCGGCGCCCGCCCAGCGCCAGCCCGTCCGTGGCGCGCTGCGCCCGCTCGGCCGCCTCCGCCGAGTCCAGCTCCAGCACCGCGAACCCCCGCGGCTGCCCGTCCTGCCCCAGCGCCAGCTGGGACACCCAGGGACACACGGGGACAGGGATGGGGACAGGGATGGGGACAGGGGCGCAGACCCCCTCGAACACTGCTCTGAGGCGCTGCAGGTCGCAGAAGCCGCGGGGCAGCCTGTCCCCTCCTGTCCCTGACCCCAGACCCCAGACCCCAGACCCCAGACACCCCAAACCCCACCTGGCAGAAGGTGGGCGCGCAGACCCCCTCGAAGATCCCCCGGAGGCGCTGCAGGTCGCAGAAGCCCCGCGGCAGCCTGTCCACGCAGAGGCAGCGCGAGTGCAGCAGCTCGGGGCTGCCGAGCTGCGCGGCGTCCGCCCAGTGCACGTGCAGGCTGCGGCCGCCCAGCTGCCGGCCCTGCAGCTCGGCGCGCGCCCGCGCCGCCGCGTCCTTCTTCATGAAGTCGGCGAAGCCGTAGCCCTTGGAGTGGCCGGAGGCGCGGCTGTAGACCAGGAAGCAGCGCTCCAGGCTGCCGAAGGGCCGCAGCAGCTCCTCGAAGCGCGCCTGGCTCAGCAGGCGCGGCAGGTTGGCCACGCACAGCACGGCCTCCGCGGGCTGCAGCTGCACGCGCAGCCGGCGCTGCCGCAGCACGCTGCCGTGGAAGCGGCCCACCGCCGCCGCCGCCTGCTCGGCCGTCAGCAGCGTGACGAAGGCTGGGGGAGAGGGGACGGGGGTTGGCAACGGGGAGAGGGG